TGTAAAATCATTGTAGGGAAAGTTGATAAACAGCCCTAGCAACTCGGATAGGTAGGAAATGAAAGAAAAAAGAAACAAACATTTTTATCAAGACTATAGGCTCGGGACTTTTCAACCTTTTCTTGGCTGATTACTCGTTGCAATGTTTTTGGAGGTGTTGGCAGTTTGAGTGCAGCATGTAGCTACAAGTCAGATAAGTCTCAAAGACATAAATCAATATCATAAAACCTGATCAACAGAAAAACATAATAAATGTTAGTTAAAAACAACATAAAAAACTCTGACTACAAAGGAAAAGTTGGCTAAAACCTCCTACAATCACAACACTGGGATTCAAAAAACAAATATGAGGATTCAGCTTAAAAGATGCAAAGAGTAACATTCGCATATAAGAAGTTTTTCATATCTCTAAGGCCTCTACATCTTAGAATATGCTTCTTAATGGGGGATAAACAACTCCATCAAGAACCTCTACTATGTCATCAGCTAGCTAAGTTAGTAACATGCAATCATCACAGTATGGAAGCAATTTGGCTCTCCTTGAAAAGGCAAGCATTAAGAAAATGGTCCACAAATACTATAGTCTATATTTGTTATTATTATTTTTTTAAAAGTGATTGAAACATCTCATTTGGAAAAAAAAAAAAAAAAAGGAGAGGAAAAGGCACAAATCTCAATTCAAGAAACAAACTAATCAGCAAAAAGAATTCAAGAAACAAAATTATCAGCAACAAGAAATTGAAGAAACAAAATAATCAGTGAAAAGAAATTCACGAAACACAACAATCAGCAAAAAGAAGCTCAAGAAACAAAATAATTAGCAAAAATAAATGAGTTGACACCACAAGAGAGGGAAAAGCATAAGAAACCAGCATTTTATTTTTTTTTAAAGCAGAACCACAATTTTCGTTCATGTTTTGCTAGTTACAAGATTACAACATCATGAGTTACATGAAAAGCCGGTGTGATTTGTTTTCAAGAAAATAGAAATATTTAAGCACTAAAAGCGATTGAACACAAGAATGAAACCCTAAGAATCCAATTTAATAGGAAAAGATTCATTAATAACCCTAAAATAAAATTACCCTTATAACAACAGAGCTGTAGAGAGACTTTGATGCCAATCACATTCCTTTAGACAAAAGGGCTGGAAAGCATCCTCCCTAAACACTTAAGACACAGAGAGTAACTTCGAATAAAAAAATTTCGGCCCCATTAAATGACACCTTTCCAAACTCAAGTACTTCTTCGCACTTAACCACATTTGACAATCCTTCGAAATCAAATCCTCATTATATATAAGCAGCCCGCATTATAATGCACAATAATGCCAAAAATTCCTTGTAAAAATTATTTTTAAGAATAAGAAGTCAAGAATATCCTGGGGATTCTTCACCATTCGGAGTTAACTAAACATTGCTCGACTAAGAAAATGCTAAAACGTCAGAACCATACAAAAACAAACAACAAAAACCCAAGACAAAGAAACAAAGGCGATTGAACACAAGAACGAAACCCAAAGAATCTAATTTAATAGGAAAAGATCAATTAATAACCCTAAAAAAAAAGGAACAACAGATAACAAAAGATTTCAGAAATCTTTAGTCCACGAGCAGAACAACTCTATAAATAATTTGGCAACGGCTGCAGAACACTTCCTCTCGAGGAGGAAAACCCTAGATCATTCCCACAATCGGAGATCAAATCCGTTCTCTATGAAGGCCAAGAGATAGAGAGAGAGTGTTGAGAGAGAGAGAGAGAGATTCAAACAGAGAGGCGGATTTGTTTCCGTTGGGACTTGGGAGGTATATATAGAGCGATTTTTATAGCGTGGGTGAACCTGATAAATGGTTCAGGCACGGGTTTAACTAAATTAAATTGACCTTTAATGCTAATTAAATAAATATTTTAATTTATTTTAATTAAATCTATTATTATTTATTTTAATTTATTATTAGTATTTTAATTTAATCTATTATTATTTTTGGATTATTTGAGTCAGCATTAAACGAGATTAATTGTCAATTCAACAATAAAAATGAATTAATCTTTAACATTAATGATGGACTCGATATTTTTAATATAATTATGTGGTGTTGAGATAATCAAATAATATTACGAAACAACTACAACACTAAAAAAAAAAATTCGGTATCATACCGAAAAATAGTACTATTGAAGCCAAGTTACATTTTATTAAAAATAAGTTACAATTCTTTGAGACCGATCATAATATTTAATGATCGATTGCGAATAACCTCAACGAATTGTAACTTTATATTTAAATGTTATATTTTCGTGATCAATTACAATAATTTAGATCATTTTAATTGTACTTTAAACCATCAAAAAAAATGTTAACTTCATCTTTAAATGTCATATATAATTTTCATTACAATATCGAGAGAGCTACCTAAGTTAGTCTCATAATATTATTATAATTGTTGAATTTTATTTTTTTGATATCTCAGTTGTTTCCAGTAGATCACAACAGTACTTTCCTACTTATGTATCGGATTAATGTTGGACTTTGTACAAAGTCATCTCTTCACACAAGGGGAAAAATCTATGGACAATGGTCCCAAGAGATTACGTTTTATGAAATACTCGAAGTCCTGATTTACCCCTCACGAAAAATTTATCAAGTGGATGAGGTACCATTAAGTTAACCTATTGAGGGTAATTGTTGAACTTTATCAAAATCATACAAGTTGAACATTTTCATTAAGAGATTAAACTATGCATTTCCAAATCTATGCAAGCCTCGTCTCACCTTATTGACTATGGGTTGTGTCCGGATATAGTTGCCAAAGTGCATGTCCCAATTTCATTTCAAACAGGCCAATTGCTCCTTTTACAAATCAAAACAAAAGCATCAGCTAATAAAAGGTATATTACAAACCCGAGACAATTCCAACATGAGAAAGATGAACTATGTGATGAGACAATCTGTTGTGAAGTGCTGGAGAAGAGCTATTCGATGATATACAGCCATTACTTGATGCAACAAAGCCCCATTCTCTGTACAGCCACATAAAGGGGCCCGAGCGGCACTACATGCAACATAGTAATTATATTTGGATGATGACCAAATACCCGAGCATCGCAAAGTGCACACAGAAACTAACATCGAGTCCAGTAATTATCTCCAACAGAATGAAACATAATTCACAAAAGTAACTACATGTTAGGCCAAACTTTACAAATAAACAGTATAAACAGTTTATTAGAATCTCAATGAACAAGTATGTCTCTTTCTCAAAAGCCAAAACCAACCCCCCCCCCCCTCCCCGCCACAATCCCACCTAGAGTTGAATTTTTTTAATTTTTAATTTTTTGTGGTGGTGGGGTGGGGGGAAGGGGGAATAGGGATTGCAAGGTTTGAAAATTATAAAATCCAATGGACCAAACCAATTCCCAACTTTTCAAATTAGCACATTTCATGATATCTTCCAAATAGCTAGAGAAACAAAATTCAACTCTTGGCTCGGAGAAGCAAGGATCAGGGTCCATTTCTTTTAGCTCACTTGATGTTGCAATGTTTAACCCAAGCACCTGCAAAAGCTTTCAGATCAGGGGGCCAAAATAACTTCTACTCTGAGTAATCTAATAAGGGACCATCAAGATCGTAAAATCTAATAAATCAATGAACTATGAGTGGAATTCTAGCTGTCCACCTAGAAATTGAAAACTTAGTGTCTGCAAAATATCATACCTCCCCACTCCCCCACCAAACAAAAAAACATAACAGCAAGATTAAGGTATTGGCTATCCATTCGGAGAACTCTAAGACACATCGATCACGATATTATTGTGCTATATCGGGCAATATAACCTAAAATAAAATGTTGAACATGATAAGATATTTAGGTCATACTATAGCGTTGCGAAATTTTATTGGCCGATTCTATGACCATATATCGGCAACTCAAGATTAACTTCAATACAGCTCGAGCGACTCGACCGAGTCGTGCGAGACTCAAGATTTATAAGTATCGTGTAACAGTATTATCTTGGAAGGTGTTGAGTTGGATACGACTCGTTCGACCCGTATCAGCTGATACTTTGAACCATGACCTAAGCTAATTCCGTGAGTAGGAATGAAGAGTTTATTGGAGATACTCTAACTCTCTATGCTTGGGGAGTTAATCTCACTCTCTATTAAATAATGAATAAAAAAATGACACATATAAAGATTATTTCAAATAAAATTGAGAGGAGTTGTTAAAAAAATTTCAAACTTTATTTAACATTTCATCAAGAGCAATGTTATGCTGTCCAAATTTTGTATCTCAAATCAATGCATGTAATTGGATTAGAAGGATCCACTACCTTCATAAAATATTCAATGCATGAGACTTTGACACATCACTTAGAATACAAGATTTGGACAACACAATTTTATCCTTTCATCAAATATGCACTTTATTTTTAAAAAATTCTCTTTAAAATAAAACGCACAATTAGAGATACTCTTAAAATATATATTTTTTTTCAAAACTCAATAGTATTATATTTTGATAACCGTTCTTATCCAAAGATACAAAAAAGACAAAGATTAAGATAATTTTACGTCATATAATTCGTGACCATTTTAATCTAAAACCCGAGCTTGACTTGTAAACAAACAAAAGGAATGAAAAAGTTTATAAAAAAAAATAATAATAATTATACAATTATGAGACCGATGGACTCGTTTATTAAACGACTGTCCAAATTTATTTTGACTCGTATTAAACGAGTCAATGGCCCAATCTAGTTATGACTGCAATCAATCATGATGATCTATCTATTTTGCATTAGATCGACTAATCATGTTAAGAATCGGCATCTTTACCAATATTTAATCCTCCTAAATTTGCATCCCAATTCCTTCGTATCAAACCTACTCATCCGACTGCAACATTACATTCCTGGGTTGCAATTCCTCATCTTGTTTGACACTTCATAACCTGTTTTATGCTGCATACAAAATTTTGTACTTAATCCAAATAGGTAATAACCCCCCAAATACACTACAGATTTCATCTATACATACATATATTCGGGAACTGAAACAAAGCTTGATCAGAATTTGCAAGAAGTAATAGCATCAAATCCTCCCTCAGTCACAACCGAAAATTTTCGGGTTTAATACTTACAGTGTGATTTTTTTTCTGTTCTCTCTGATTTCCTACGGAAAAAGTGCACGGGCTACACAAAGAGTAGTTGCTCTAGAGTCCAACCACTTAAATTTGTAAGTGTTCCAACAGATGGCTTATTTGGGCATATTGCTCCCCCAGTATCAAACACTAAAACTAAGGCTCCGGGATCAAAAGGAACAAAGGAAAGGAGAAGGGGAAAAAATCTATACAATGGTTGCCAATCAAAATTTCACTACCCATTAACCGCTTGAGCACTGCGACCAGTCACATCGATTGGAGAATACCTGCAGCTCCGAAAAACTAGAGGATAGGCCCAAAAGTCATCAACCAAAACTACCATGATAATATCAGTTTATAGTGTTGAAGAATCTAGCACGTGATTGGCAGAAACCAACAGTTGCTGCTACCCGAAGTGGTCACAGACAACATGCTAGAAATTCACTCCAGAACGTATAGACAATGATGAAAAGCCACCACCACCACCACCACCACCAAAAGAAAAATCCGAGCCACTCTAGGAAAAATCAGTTTAATGGCTGTATAGACTCTGGGGCCGCAACTACCAGCTAAAGTGCTGGCTATTCCGATTCCCTCATCGTCTGATATTGCCTGCGGCCACTCAACCCATCGCCATTTGAGTCCTCAAATGCAGCTTTGATTGCCTCAGCAGTCATGAGAGCAACAACAGCCTTGTGGATTGCTAGATCTGCTCTGTAAAGTGCTTTCTGAGCACTCTCTCTCTTGAGCTTTGCTATGTTACGTGCATGCCGAGCTGCACCTGATGCATCACGCAACCTGAACTCGTCAAGATCAGGACCCTCTAACTGTTCCATGCCGTGTCTCTGAGATGCTTCTGACAGATAATGCTTCTGACTTGGCCACTCGGGTAAAGCCATATTCCACCCTTGCACTCCACTTCTCCTGCCAATTGTTCTTTGGTTAGAAGAAGCCAGCATCTGTTGATTACTAGAGGAGAGAAAAGTCCCAATCTTCTCTGACTTGTTCCTGTAAAGTTTTGGGTTATGATTATACTCAAATCCATCAGTACTTGAGGTGAAACATCCGGGGCCACCAAAATCCCTTGGTGAGAACGCTCTGGTTGATGCCTGAAGCAACAGGGTAGCCTCTGAAGATTCATGGCTATTGCCCGGAAATATAGCTTTCTCGTCTCCAAAAGCAAACCCATTTGATCTTCTTCCTAGAAGACACAAAGGAAACATAGATTAAAAAAAAAAAAAGTTAAAAGCTAAAATAAGTAGTTACTTATCTAAATATGCAGTGAAAAGGGGTAGTTATTTATCTAAATATGAAGGGAAAAGGGGTAGCCGGATAATCATTATGAATAAGGTCAAGGAAGATTACCGAAAGCATAAAGACCATCCTGATCCCACTGGACAGCATGGCTGTGACCAGATAGTGGAAATTTCCTCAGTGGCCTCTGTTTTGAACCTTTCATGGGCACCTCCAAACCTCGTGGCTTCAAACAAAAAGCAAACATAGGTGGCTTCTCAATGGGCTGTGCCTTCTCCAGGCATCCACCAGAACAGATGGCAATGTTGGCTTTTGTCGTGGCTTGCTCCCATTCTTTCACTAGCTGTTGGTATCTCTCCCATTGTGGAGGCTGACAAAACACAAATTACTTAGAAATCTTGCTAAAACCACTATCTCAATGGAAAAACAAAGGCACAAATTTTTTCAAAAAAAAAATGTACCGATTACTGCTAAAACAAATAGTAGTAGTTATAAAGAAGACATTGTAAAAGAACACAATTCAAAACAGGAGTACCATGGCATTTGCAACTTTCTGGTCCTACACCAAAATGGGCTGCACAACCATAAAGGAAACGTCTCCCAAAGTTCATGTTAAAATATGTAATTACACTCTGAAATCAAATGACTGCCTCAAAAAATAAACATGAAACAATATCAACAATTGATAAATACAATTCAGAGAAATCTCTTAAACTGAAAAAATTCATATGCAACACCAAGCGACAACGTTATGTTGCATTAGAGAGAGCCAATGAAAAAACACCATCATTCTTGCAACTACACACCTCAAATCACAAATNCGATTCCCTCATCGTCTGATATTGCCTGCGGCCACTCAACCCATCGCCATTTGAGTCCTCAAATGCAGCTTTGATTGCCTCAGCAGTCATGAGAGCAACAACAGCCTTGTGGATTGCTAGATCTGCTCTGTAAAGTGCTTTCTGAGCACTCTCTCTCTTGAGCTTTGCTATGTTACGTGCATGCCGAGCTGCACCTGATGCATCACGCAACCTGAACTCGTCAAGATCAGGACCCTCTAACTGTTCCATGCCGTGTCTCTGAGATGCTTCTGACAGATAATGCTTCTGACTTGGCCACTCGGGTAAAGCCATATTCCACCCTTGCACTCCACTTCTCCTGCCAATTGTTCTTTGGTTAGAAGAAGCCAGCATCTGTTGATTACTAGAGGAGAGAAAAGTCCCAATCTTCTCTGACTTGTTCCTGTAAAGTTTTGGGTTATGATTATACTCAAATCCATCAGTACTTGAGGTGAAACATCCGGGGCCACCAAAATCCCTTGGTGAGAACGCTCTGGTTGATGCCTGAAGCAACAGGGTAGCCTCTGAAGATTCATGGCTATTGCCCGGAAATATAGCTTTCTCGTCTCCAAAAGCAAACCCATTTGATCTTCTTCCTAGAAGACACAAAGGAAACATAGATTAAAAAAAAAAAAAGTTAAAAGCTAAAATAAGTAGTTACTTATCTAAATATGCAGTGAAAAGGGGTAGTTATTTATCTAAATATGAAGGGAAAAGGGGTAGCCGGATAATCATTATGAATAAGGTCAAGGAAGATTACCGAAAGCATAAAGACCATCCTGATCCCACTGGACAGCATGGCTGTGACCAGATAGTGGAAATTTCCTCAGTGGCCTCTGTTTTGAACCTTTCATGGGCACCTCCAAACCTCGTGGCTTCAAACAAAAAGCAAACATAGGTGGCTTCTCAATGGGCTGTGCCTTCTCCAGGCATCCACCAGAACAGATGGCAATGTTGGCTTTTGTCGTGGCTTGCTCCCATTCTTTCACTAGCTGTTGGTATCTCTCCCATTGTGGAGGCTGACAAAACACAAATTACTTAGAAATCTTGCTAAAACCACTATCTCAATGGAAAAACAAAGGCACAAATTTTTTCAAAAAAAAAATGTACCGATTACTGCTAAAACAAATAGTAGTAGTTATAAAGAAGACATTGTAAAAGAACACAATTCAAAACAGGAGTACCATGGCATTTGCAACTTTCTGGTCCTACACCAAAATGGGCTGCACAACCATAAAGGAAACGTCTCCCAAAGTTCATGTTAAAATATGTAATTACACTCTGAAATCAAATGACTGCCTCAAAAAATAAACATGAAACAATATCAACAATTGATAAATACAATTCAGAGAAATCTCTTAAACTGAAAAAATTCATATGCAACACCAAGCGACAACGTTATGTTGCATTAGAGAGAGCCAATGAAAAAACACCATCATTCTTGCAACTACACACCTCAAATCACAAATCAAAAGGAAGGAATCCACCAGCTGACTTACAAGCAGAATCTCAATTAACCACGTTCAGCATCAGAGCGGGAAATTGTCTCAAGCTGAGCAAACGAACAAGGACCCAAATGAGAATTTCACAAATAGCACACTTGAGAACTAGTAGGGCCTAGCAGTTCACGAAAGGTGGCATAGGACATCTGTTGGCGGCGGGAGTCTTACATCCGACGGAGAGGTCAGAACAATTGATCCATTGTTTTTGAACGGATCTTGTTGAATGAATTGATCCATTGTTGTATGCCCTGTTAGAGTTTTGAGAAAGAAAGCGCATCTTGCATATCGCATACCGGATATCACATAGCTACTTGAGGAAGAGTATCGATTATCGCATATCAAAAACACCTGCCCTGCCCTGCCCTGTTCTATCTTGGAAAACGATATCATCAAAAAAACTGGTTCTAGTCTCGGCTTTCTTGTAGCCTTGGGGATTTTTTAATGAGACTTTAGGATTCAAAAAAAGGCTTCAAGTTCAAGTGCAAGCTCAGTGAGTTTGTTCAGCTTTACTGCAAGTCCAAAGAAAGAAAGGGAGGGGCAAAGTCCACTCGCTATTACTTGGTTTCTGGGTTGAATCTAGTCCAGTTTTATAATGTTTATTTCCATAATTTCCTGCTTAGAGTATATTCTTCTTCATATAATTTTAAAATTTGCTGGACATGGGATATAGCAGTGATCTATGGGACTTATTTTCGATTGAATATACCATTGGTCTTCATATTCAGTGTCTTAGTTAATCTGGAAGATTCTGAATCCTTGTAGAGGTAGAAAACTACAATAACCTATGGATATCTATACAAGAAGTATCAATAATTGAAAGGTTTGGAAGGTTATTCCTTCCATCATTGAAGCTTTGAAAGGCTTATTTTTAATTGATTGTTCTTCACTTCCATTATTCCTTATATCATCGAAGATTTGGAAGGTCAAAGTGCCTTTAAAGGTGCAATTTTATGCACGGATTGTTGGTCAGGGTAAGATAAACACTAATTATGTGCATCAAATAAAGAGACCAACAACTCATCATTTCCCGTGATGGTGTGTTATGTATAGAGGTAGTGGTGAGAGAGAGGATCATTTATTGTTGCATTGCCCCAAGGGGTTGTCACTATGGAATAAGTTGTTTGATTTTGTAGGACTATGTTTGGTGGCACCGAGAACCATGTCATCTATGATTTGTTTGGATGTTATGGGTCATAATGATATAGAAGGATGAAGATCATTTGGCGTTGCGCCTTTTTCGCTACTATTTGAGTCATTTGGTTGGACAGGAACGCAAGGATCTTTGAGGATGAAGGTTATGAGATTGACTTTATTTATTGGCTTCCTTTTGGGCCACAGTGTCTAAGAAGTTCGAGAATGTTCCTCTTTTTTATGGCAGGGTAGACAGCATCAAACTGAATGTAAGGTCAACATCCATTGTTGTGTTACATTACTTCGTTTTCACCCGTCATTAGGCTGGATAACTAGTCCACCAGTGACTGGTTTTTGTAAGTCCTTTTATCTTATTTTAGTAAGAATACTACTATTTCCAACCAAAAAAATACTTTATAAGTTTGGATTTCTGAATGTGTTCAGGGATGCAGTTTGTTATTTTCAGTTTCCCCCTCTCCCTTCTCTCACACTCTCTTAAGAAAGAAAACTTTCATTAAATAAATAATATAGAACAATAGAGCGGACAAGGAATCCACCCAATGAAAGGAGAGAAAATCATCAAAAGAAAATACATCGAGAAAAGTTGAATCACTATAAAGCTAAAGAAAATGTCCATCTAACCACATGATGTGACCCAAACAGAACTAAGGGCAAAACAATGGCACACCCTCAAAAAACTCTTTGGCAGACAATGCCCAAAGGTAGCCAAAAACTTCACTCTATCCCAAAGAAACCCCGCATAATCTTTGTTATCTTCAAAAATATTATTATTCCTTTCCTTCTACACCACCCAAAATTGTCATAACTACACAACTGCAGAAGATAGATATTGTACAACCCTTTCTAAAACACCATGATATGTCCCCCAGTAAAGCAACACACTGAGCAGTCGAGGAAGCTCTGCACTTTCACCACATCTTCTACAGATATGTCGAGGAAGAGAATATACGCACTGTTTTTCTCTCTCAACCCTAAAAAATCCCAATTCACCCAATTCTCCCCCTACTTTTGATTAACAATTGAAACCCAAAAAGGTTGCCGTCCAGATTTCGCTTTTCAATTGTAAACTCAAAGATACTGTAACATATAAGTATCACTTTCAAAACTAAGCCAATCCTGACATTAAACTTCTCCAAACTCTAAAAACTCCAATCCATTCTTCCCTCATACCACAAGCTTTCGACAACCAAAAAACAATTTTAGGCAACATAAATCAAGTCTCCTAAAGCCTCCCTACATCAGTGGCTCAAAACAAAGACAAACAATAAGTGGGACTCTATTGAACTGCATAAAAATTTGAAAATATAAAACCCCGTAAGATCTCTCATCCACTGGTCAGGAAACAGGCCTGCTAAAAGACCTCCATCATAGAAACCATTAGCACGTACAATGGATCAACTTACATCCAACTACAGAACATGAGAGAACATTCACCAACAAACTAACAGGATGCAATAGCAAAAATATCAACTGCATCATCCAACCCAAGCCCATCCTGTAAAAAGTCAATAAGTTCACCGGAGTAATTATCGCCCACCTTCCCACTATACAAAGTGTAGATGATATCAAAAGGTCAATTGACATCCCAAGTAAAATCACTGAATAAAAATGAAGCAGCTACTCAAACAAATCATCTGCTTTTCAGATAAGAATTCCAGCAACTAAACATTGCCGGATAAACTGATACACGCATTCTTTAATATCAAAACCATAGATTCTCTAAGATCTTATACACGCTCGCAATCCGTCTACCCACTACTCTACCAACAAAACAATCCAGCCACAGAGATTTTCAAAAACAAACCCTTCCTGGACAAATTTTTTACCAATGCTATTAAACCCACCCCAACCAAAACTGGACAGTTCTGGTAGAAAGCTAAAGCTCTGCCAGCTGGACCATGCATTATCCCCCATTCAACAATCTCAAAGCATTCAAATAGTCGTATATAGGTCTCTTATTAGCAGGTGTACCCTACAGCAAGAGCACTGAGCTTTTTAGGCTCCCCAAGGAGATCTAAAACACTGGTTACTCACCACCATTGAGGCCACTGTGGAGTCCAAGTTGGAGATTCAGACTGATGTAAAGCACATGAATGATAGTTCCACCACTTTAAAAATTTTCACTTCACCCTATCTTATTGTGTTTTTAATAAGCAGCAGCCCCCTTGGACTAATATATGTCCATAGATATCTGCTAACCTACATCTTCCAATTTCACCTATATCTCAAACTTACTGATTATTCGTTTTTCAACATTTGCCATTACTGTGGTTGATTAGAGTGAGACAGTTGTAATGGATTTGGACTGTGAGTAGAAGGTGAAAGATGCATGAATGTAGTGACTGGTAATTTAGCTGGAGGAAGTTTGACGGTGGTGACTTGTTGCAGGGATGTTTGGTGCATTGGTCCCAGCAAAGGTTAGTTGGTAATGGGGTTAGTATTGTTGTTTCTTTCATTTTAAATGGATATTGTTTAGTCTGCCCATAGGTTTTAAGTTTTTAACCTGTTAGTCCTTCTTGGTTGAACCGCACAATTGGGTGGAACATGGCCACCCCAAAAGAAGAAAAGATAAAGAGCACTTTCACGCTCATATTTTATGGACGTTAATAGCTCACTAAGATACTCGCATTTTACATTACTCAATATTTGTGGTCATCAGCAGATCCAACGCTTCTATAGTGTATACACATTACACACATCCCACAAAATCACCTCGTGGAAGAGAGCAATTGGACAAAGGCCAAATATGCGTTTGCAGACAGTATATGCATTGTAGATCATCATCTTCTTTCTTTTCTATAATATGAAAGCACTGATCAGAATCATCAGATTGTTCACTCCTGTGTAGTCATTTAAAACGAAAAATTCTCAATTTATGCTAAATGCAACTCAACAAGTACTCTGTCCAAACTATTTGTGATTGATTAGAGGAATCCTATGCCACCATTGTGCTATCACAAGGACAAGGCAGTATTTTCTGTTAATCTACGAGCTATGTCATTTTTGTAGTATCTCAGTCAATTTCAATTTAGGTCTACTTTTACTCGTCCTATTATCATTGATATGCATGACATCACTTGTCTGCAACAATAGGTGTCCAATAAACATGATCAGACATTCAGACCGATGTTACTTGGATCATGAGCCGATTAGTTACGTGATATGGGTATGCAGTACAATATTTTTTCCATTACGCATTGTGCTGGGGTTGGGGTAGATTTAGCTGGTATATTGTTTGTGTCACGGTTCACTTTGAAACTTATTACTATCTAAATCACTTGCACTATTATTAGAATAATATATAATCATATATACAAGCACAAAGTCATTAATATTTATTTTGTATGGGTGCTATCATTGATAGGGTATGACATCAAATTTCTTCAGCAATACATGTCCAATAAACATGATCAAACCAATCTTACCAAGATCATGAGTCGATTAGTTACGTTAACGTTATACAGGTACACAGTGCAATATTTTTTTCCATTACACGTTGTGCTGGTGTAGACTTTGCTGATACATTGTTTGTGTCACGGTTCACTTTGAAACTTATTACAGTCTGAATCACTTGCACAATTATTAGAATAATATATAATCATACATACAAGCAAAAAGTTATCAATATTTATTTCGTATGCATCTATCACCATTTTGAAATTATATATAACTACACATTCAGACACAGATAATTAATATTTATTTTATCTTCATGATAAGAGATTCCAAGCAAGCCAAAATTCTGATTTACATACCAACTAGTAGGGGTGTCCATGGATCGAGTCGGGTTTGGCTAGCGAATTTTTTTTGGATTAGACCTGGGTAGGGGAGGCCCAAGCCCTTACCCAAGTGAGTTATCAGGCGGACCAGGGCGGGCTTCGGGTAGGGTAGGAGGGTACTCTCGGGAACAGATCCAATGCAGACGAAGTGAGGTCTGTAGCTCAGAGGATTAGAACACGTGGCTACGAACCATGATGTCAGGGGTTCGAATCCCTCCTTGCCCACAACTAGCCCAAAAGGGAAGGACCTTTTCCTCTAAGGATAGGAAAATCATAATCGGGATAGGAATAGCGGACCAAAAGCTA